ACTTTCCTAAATTTTCCAGGTGATAGTGACTGGTATACTAAATGGTATTACAATCAAATCTGTGTACATGTCAGAATCCAGCCAGGGTACAGAAAGATCATTGTAAGAAAGTTGGTGAAGGGGCTTATAAAAAAATTAAGACAATCTATTTTTTTTTTAAAAAAACTAATATAAGAAAATGTCAAAGGAAAGGGGCAATAAAATAGTTTTCCCATCATTTAGAATATTGCCTTTGAAGAGCTAATTTGACGGAATTATTCTCCAGACAGTTTCAATATCCCTTCCACTTAGAAATCTTAGAAGCCGAAGAAAGGAAGAAAAAGTGGGGATAAGATAATAATAGAGAGATAATAAAGAAAAAATACTTTAAAGAAAAAATTAAAGGGACACCTAAACTAACACAGACTTACTGGGGAAATAGGAAATTCAAAGATGGAAGAGAAGGAGGGAATGAAAGTGAAGGAGAGAGTGACTGAACACGAACGGATTCAAGTCAAATAATAATGGAACAATAACTTTTTGGACAATAAGGACAATAGCAAAATTGAAGAGCTGGTTTCTAAATTAAATCTCCTAAACAAGGACTTGGAGAAACTTGGAACAAAGGAAGGAAAATAGAAAGACACATTGGTGGAAATGAACAAACAAACAAAAAATCAAAAGGGAAGAAAGAGATGGTGAAGCGAGAATAAAGAGGACAAAAAGAACAAAAAACAGAACAGGGGGACAAATAAAAAAATTAAAAAAGCACACAGACATATCGATAGACAAACCTAAGCTGAAGGAAGAAGTCTGATTAAAGAAGTCTTATCATAATCGCATCAACTGGACTGGTTTAACCTCTCCAATATTTTTGAAACCTTTTCCCTGCCCCCTGACTCCTTTCCCTCTACATGAGAAAAACAGAATCCCAGGAAGAAGATAGAGGTGCTGTGGAAGAAAGGCAGGTTTCAGTAGAAAGGGTTTTGGTACCAGTGAAAGGGTATTGGATGCCAAATTCTGGTTCCTTTGAATTTCACATTTAATTTTTAAAAATTAAAAGCAAACGTCTACCCCTTATGACTGCACAAATTTGGCTGAAACCCTGCTCAGAAGCTACAGATGTTGTGGTAATATGGTTTTTTTCTCCATTGGTTACAGGTGGAACTTCAGTGCACTCCATAGTTCTTTGATCCATGACTTTAGAATGACTTATACAAAAGAGTTAATGTCATTGAATGAATGATGCAAAGCTAGCAAAATGCCCATCTGCATAACTCCTGGGACCTTATCACACGGGGCCAAAAGCAGTCAGAATCCACACGAAATCACTTCCTATTGTGCTTTATTTTTCCGTGTGTTTACACGACGTCGCTCAGAACCCAGTCAGAACCCCATAACAAGGAAGCATCATCCCCATTCTTTTGAATGCTGGTTTCTTGGGGAATTGCAATTGCGCAATTGGAATGATAGCGCTGTCATAGCGCTTTCGCTGTATGTCTGATCACCAAATACTTATCGTGGAGCATTTCCCTGTCATGACCCATGGTTCCTAGCGTGATTTCCCATGGGTCTTTTCTCACTTGTGTGTGAACGGCAAATACGGTTCCCGGGAGCGCTTCCATCGTGCTATCCTTAATTGCACGATGATGCTAGTTGCGTCTGATAGCCATTTACGTATTGTGGTGTTTCTTTCGGTTTGTTACAGGATTTATTCTTATTTCGCTTTCTTGTCGCTTTGAGCCCCGCGTGTAATAAGGTCCCATGGATGACAAATGTCTACAGCCACAAAGCATGGAGCTACTTACAAAAGTAAGACAGAGGATGAATGGAAGAACACCAATTGACAGCACAGATATTGCCAAAAATATGGGAAAGGATGAAGACTTTCAAAGAGATTAGCAGATAGAGTGAAGGGGGATATATTTTGCTTTGGGGGATTGCGAGTGGATTTTAGGTCAAAAATAGAGGTTATATATTAAAATACTTTTTACAATTACAAATAGTGGGAGAGGAAGAGATAAAGGGATTTTAACTAGTGTCATTTGGGCCAGAAATAGAAAATGGCATAGTATTTTTTTTTGTTTACAGTTGCAGATACATGTATCTAACCTGGAAGTTTTAAAAAAGTACCCCCCTCCAAGAAATAGAACTGCTTTGACTATTATTAAATTAACTTCTTTTGTTTTTGTGAGGGCTAAATAGGATATTAGTTCAGTGTTAATTGTTCCAAATCTTTTTTTCTCTCTCTCTGCCCAAATAAGGATTAAAAATACTATAGAGCCAGGTAAGAATAGCTGAGGTGATGGGAGCTGCATACCCCCCAAGTGGTCCGATTTGGTAGGGATAGTCCTATTTTCACAGTTCAGTATCAAACTTTGCAGAAGTTATTTTTCTCCAATATAACTCCTAAGTTGTTCACAGCTCATACTGGTTTTGGAAAACAGCATTTACGATCAGCTAGCATGGAGTTTCATCTTAGAACAGCATCAGCCTAGGGAAGAGTTAAAAAGAATTGATTTTTCTGATCAGTACAGGATTGTGTTCATTGCACTGACATTTTTGAGAAGTGAGTCTTTATTATGTATATTTAATCACGAACAATCTTTCTAATCCATATCAACAAAGGCTACAACTGATAGTTGGAGATCTGAGTACCACAATGTTATAGCAAATGCCAGTAACTGCTGAGTGTTGTCTTTCCTATCATTTTAAATGGCAACTTAATTCTGCTTAAACTTTAATGGGGAAGAAACCCATATGCTGCTTTATATGCATAATACTCTGATCTATTACACTTGTGGTTCATTTCAGTTATTCATGTTTGCTTATAGTTTGTTTATATGAATTATCCATATTTATTCCTTTGTATGGCCATTGAGAGCCATTGTGGTATAGTGGTTTGCGCATTGGATTATGATTCTGGAGATCAGGGTTTGATTCCCCGCTTGAGCATAAAAACCCACTGGATGACCTTGGGCAAGTTACACTCTCCCAGCCTCAGAGGATCGCAATGGCAAATCCCCTCTGAAGAAATTTGCCAAGAAAACCCCACAACAGAGTCATCATAAGTTAAAAATGACTCAGAGGCACACAACGACGACGACAAACGGCTATTCTTTTAACAATTTAAATAGCCCACCCCCCTATTCCTTTTATACAGTGTATAAGCAAACTGTGCAGTCCTCATAATTAATTAAAATCCATTTACTTTCTTTGTCAGCCTGGAAGGGCTCTCAGAGAAGCTTCTGTAAGATAAATAAGGACAAGAGCAAACCATTAAAACAGCCTCCGCCACATAGATGGGCATAGGATCATGGTGAGCTGCACATCAATGTTGTGTAGTGAACAGGAAGAGGATTCTCTGAATGTGAATTCCAAGATCAGGTGCTGGGTGGGGAGAGATGCATCTATGCTCTTTGATGACTGAATTATCTTCATGGATGAAGACAGAAATGAGACATGGATTACCATTTATTCTAAATGACACGTTTCGGTGCCTTCCTTGTAATGAAGTCATCTGTAATGTGTCACTCCAAAGAGAGATGCAGTTTAATTAAATGACTCCATGGTTCATTATACATCAATGATGGGAAGATCTCTTTGATGTTTACCCGACTGGCTTTATGCGTTGATCTGGCTTTGAAGTGGCACCATGGCTTTTCATTGGGCTCATCTTTAAAAAGGGACAGACCTCCAAAGGTTGCTTTGCAATGCTGATCTACTATGGTTAGAACCTTTGATCATTATGTTGTCCAAAATTGCTTGTAGGAAAGGATTGGACAGGCAGGTATGCCATGGAGGAAGGGGGAGAGATACAGTTGTACCTTCTGTTTCAGACTATCAGCGATGCAAAGTTTGACAATTTTAGGCTCTTGATTTAATGTTCTTATCCTGTAGATAAAATTTAAGTAGCCTGCTACATTGGCTACATCCTTCCCAACTCATTTTGCCAAATAGGGCACTGGACTGGTTCTCCTCCAGTTCTGGTCTAATCGCACAGTTTAAGTAAGGTTTAATATTTGTGTACCTTCAGGTTGTTTCTAATGGCCCTAAGGAGTTTACTTGGCAGGTTTCTTCAGAGGACATTTGCCATTGCCTTCCTCTGCTCTGAGACGAGAGAGTGTGACTTGCCCAACATCACCCAGTGGGTTTCATGGCTGAGCTGGGATTCGAACCCTGATCTCCAGAGCCCAAGTCCAACGTTCAAACCACTATACCATGATGAAAGCTGAACATTTGTCCTCTCCAATGTGCCTGTTAAAAACTCATGAGCAGCCTTATCAAAGATATGTGTCTACCATAACAAGAGAGAGAGTGAATGCATCGGTAGTAGCCCTGTTAGTCAGAATCAAAAAAATCCACATTAGTGTAATATCTTTATTAGGACAGCCCCAAAGGCACAAACAAACTTTTGAGCTTTCCATATCTCTTTATCTGGCAGGATATTACAAAAAGCAGGGTTGGCAGTGCCAGCCTTTCCATTGAGGGAGTATGAGCTGACTGTCTCAGGCAGGAGATCTGGAGTATCATGAAAGAGATGCAAATGGTTATCTCAATTTGCAATGATTATATATCTAATCCATTTATATTATCTATTTCTATATGTCAGTTAAAATCTTTGACAGTGAAGGGTTTGTTGTTTTTATGAAGGCTTATTCTGCCTACCTGTGCCCCTGTTTTTTGTTCTCTGTCCAGCTGTAAGCTGGAGAAACACGACTTGCAGTGTCAGGTATTAACAGCTTGTCTGTATTAAACAATGAAATAAAATCTGAGCTGGGAAAGAATAGAATTCTACTTTACCTAACCCACAATAGCTGTAGAATTCAAAGGCATAGCTGTCTTAGAGGGACAGCAGATGCGTGGCTCCGGGCTGCCCCGGGAAGCGGCAGATCGGGGCTGTGGCTACCCCACGCCATGGCACCGATCCTCCCTTTTGCCACCGCTAAAAGAGCGGCAAAAGGCCACGCTAAGAGCTGGTGTGCGGCTCTTCAACTCCCTTTCCACCGCAGCACGTCAGAACCCTGTGCCAGAAGGGCATCCTGATGCTGCATGCCATGTGTAACGGCACATGGCATCAAGATGGCGTTGGTGTGGGGTTGGGGCGGCCAGTGTGTGCAAAACACACACCCCAGCCACCCTTCTTTGCCAGCCAAGGTCAGTGGCATGTTTTCTGCTGCTCCAGAGACTAGGACCCGAAACAATGGATGCAAGCTGCAAGAAAAGAGATTCCACCTCAACATTAGGAGGAACTTCCTGACAGTAAGGGCGGTTCGACAGTGGAACACATTCCCTCGGAGAGTAGTGGAGTCTCCTTCCTTGGAGGTCTTTAAGCAGAGGCTGGATGGCCATCTGTTGGGGATGCTTTGATTGGGAGTTCCTGCATGGCAGGGGGTTGGACTGGATGGCCCTTGTGGTCTCTTCCAACTCTATGATTCTATGATTCTATGATTCTATCACTAGGGCTAGTGTCACCCAGTGCGGTAACTCATGGTTTCATCCCCCCTTCATTTACCTCCTCCTACCCACTCCATAAAAATCCTTAGTCATGTTTTTTGTACTAATGTTGCTCATAAATGATAAGTCCCATATATCACTGAACGTAACGGTAATTGTTGTGACATACACAACTAGCACAATTAAAATTATACTTTGAAATTACACTATCATATGAACAGCATAAATGTATTTACATATACATTGTTTCATGTGCTTAACACGAAAATTTGGTAAAATATGATGTTTTAAAAGATAATAATAATAATAATAATAATAATAATAATAATAATAATAATAATAATAATTTTGTATCCCACCTCTCTGTAAAATACAACCGGGGTGGCTTACGTGATAAAACAAACAGTCCTGTCCCCCAATAGCCCACCCCCCCTAAAATACAATTAAATGATAAAAGTTTAAAACATACTTTAAAATAACAAACTACAATAGATAACATTAAAATAGCTGTAGTGAAAAACCAGGGTCAGGCATAACTTTTTCGGTGGCTATTTTTAAAATAATTTTAATTTTTTAAAAAATTAAAAATTAATTTCTTGACATTTGAAATTTTGTTTAAAAAAAACCTGGGGACTCTCCTCACTCCTCCCACTGAGCCTCCTCCCACTCACACCCTCTCTTCGGCATTTTAAAGGGATACAGCTGAATGCCACAGCCCGTTTCTGCCCAAATAAAATGTTTGGGGAAAGGTGGTCTCACCTCCCTTAGGGTGTCACCTGGTGCAATCCGCACCCTCCACACTCCCTAGGG